AATCAGGGATTCCTTTCAGAAATTACCGGAAAATTGTTTTAATATACCTGAATAAGTGGTTAGGTAAAAACAAAGAACATATATCTAATATATAAAATTCTCGTGTCGCGGTGTTTGTGGTTAAACTCCTCCGAAACGGCTTTCCCGATTCTCATGAAATTTTGTGTGCATAATGGGTAGGTCTGAGAATCGGACAACATCTATTTTTCATGCCCCTAAATGTTAAGGGAATCCACCCCTAAATTTTTTTTTTTTTCAATTTTAACTAAAAATTTTTTTTTAATTTTTTTATGATACTTCATACGAAAATACATACAACTCTAAATTTTCACCCTTCTACCACCAACCCCTTTTTTTCTTATGGCGGTACGAAATTCGCTGGGACAGCTAGTTATCTGTAAAAAACTTGTTTTTTCTAAAGAAAATTTACTAGAAAAAGACGCACGCGGACAAGGCAGCAGACGGGACTCGAACCGTGGATGTTTTTTATAGTAAAATTTTCTTTAGATTTTAACATCTAGCAGTTCAATGCATAAAAAAATTAAGATTTACATTTTTTTTTTTCAAATTTACTTTTTTTACCAAATTTAATAGATATGAATTTTTATAGCGAAATTGTACTTTACAGGCGCGACCAGCAAAAGAGGCATTGCTGTCCATCAACGCCTAGTTGTCAAATAAAAAAAGCATAACTTCCGAAATTCAGGAAATTCAATGACGAACAATATTTTTCCCGTAGTAGTGTTCAATTGTTTTTTTTTTTTCATAAACAGCTTTTGACATTTAAATAAAAGCATTGTTAAGTTACCTCCTTGGTTGCCATGTCACGAAGCAAAAGATCGTTCCATTTTTAAATTACGTAACATAAGCTCTACTCTCTTTCTCCGAAACGAAATTTCGGTAACGAACGAATTTTAAACGAAATTTCGCCAGTAACTCTACTCTATTTCATTTTTGAACACACACATAAAGTTCGGAATCACAGACAATTTTCGTGAACGAATGGAATGAGTTATGTTTGTGAGTTCTTTTATCTCCACGTTTTACATTACCTGTTTTACTTGGAAACAATATTACTTTACTACAAAATTTTTGATGACATTAAAAGAACCTTCTTTGACAGTGTAAGCTGACTAATTTGTAGAGTTGATGAATTTCATTGTATGTCAACGTATATTTGTCGTTTAATACTTTGAAATATTGGAAATATAATAATTAATTAAAATTTGGTGTATTTGTTTGGTTGACGTACTACAAAATGTTCCTCACGCTAAGCAGCTTTGATAAAAAATACTCTATCAGTCTTTTAAGGCTTAATTTAATAAGAAGCCTTAAATCGAAAATGAAAAGGTAACAAACACTTTTCATTTCGTCAATTTGAGGTTAAAATTTCGAACAATTATCTGTCAAATTCAACTTTTAGTTTGAAAGTTTTGTGAATTAGAGTAGGTTTTGAGAATTTAATTGTCAAACTATTTTCGGACAAACGGATTTTCGAAATGAAATAGAAACAGAGTAAGGAACGTGCGAAATTTCGATCGAAATTTCGCTTTTCGTTGAAATAGAGTAGGCCTCCTTTACAGGCTCGACCAGCAAAAGAGGCATTGCTGTCCTTCAATGCCTAATTGTCAAATAAAAAAATGGGTGCGTGTACTTATGTAGGCGCGTGAGAAGTTATCCTTCTGTGGCATCGTTTAAAATTAGTTTTTAATTGCATGCAAATAATTAATTACAATAAATTAATAAAAAGTCTGGAAAAGGACACAGTCAATAAAGTTCAGTTTTAATTTGAAAAAATAAATAAACAATCAAAATATTCAATTAAAATCGCATCTGAATATAATTTATTAGAACATAATATGTGATTTGCACTTGTATGAAACTCAAACACGTATTCCGAATATACAAACTAGAAACATGTGGATAAATATTATAAATATGAATACCTATAACTGTTACTTTATTAAAATAAAGATGTGGTTTTTGGTTCTACTACACCAATGGTCAAGAGATGGCGCTGTAGTCTCCTGAATCGCGCTTTGGTTCCGTTGTTCCAGATTAATAAATACTTTTGATAGGCCTTCACAATGCAGTCGTTAGCACCCACTAAATAGAGATTCTATTTCTATTTTGTTGGTAGATTTTCTTAATGTGCGGTAAACACAAAAGTAACGCATGAAGTTGGTCGCTAAAGCGACCAACTTCATGCTGTTAAAATTTTGTGTTACAGTGATGCGCGCGCATCTTAAAATTTCACTCTCATCATTTTTTCATAACGCGCCTAAAGAAGTATAACTTCAAAAAAGCATAACCTCCGAAATTGAATGACGAACTTTATTATTCCCGTAGTAGTGTTCATTTGTTTTTTTTTTATAAACAGCTGTCTATTTTGACATTTAAATAGATAAGTTACCTCCTTGGTTGCCATGTCTTGGAGCAAAAGATCGTTCTATTTTTAAATTACGTGACAGATATATTATAGTATAATACAAATTACATAGTATGTAATTTATTTGGCCGCTAAACACGACAGGTATGGATTTTCATACAAGTTTTGCCGGTCGCTGCTCCAGCCAGTATAGCAATTTCGATTGATCTGTAAGAAGGTTGTCAATATAATGCTCACATTTCCAAGCATTCTTGACGAAAAATACAATTTATTGGCAACAAGGCTTAACGTCACACTATTGCCATATCTACAAAGAGTTTGATACGTAATATCGCGTATATCAATATACTGCCTCTTATTCGATGGTTCATGGAAGATGGAATAGATAGAACCCTATCTGTCGCAGACTTCTTTCTACTTTTAAATGGGAAGAATTACGTTAAACATGATTTTTGCATATTTTTTGCTGTTTATGCAACGGAAAATCTCGAAAGGAACATATTTGCCCGATTTTCAGAGTTTTTATTGATTCTGGTTTTCTATTGTTCGTGGTGTGATGCTAAATAGCCTATAGCCTTTGTCGATAAACGGACTATCCATTATTTACTGTAAATTTGTATTGTTATTTGTATAAATACCTAACTAAATAAAGAAAAACTTTTTTCAACAGATTTATAAAATAAATAAATATTTCCAACACTCATACCAATTAGCCTAGCCCCAAAATAAGCACTGTAAGGCTTGTGTTATGGGATACTAGGGTAACGGATAGAATACATATACTGTACATATATAAGTACATTTATATATAAAATACATATTAAACATCCAAGACTGGAGTACAAAAGCTCGTATATTGTTTGCTCAAAAAATGCATTTACAGAGGTTGTATACATTGTTCGAAAGTTCAAAATTACGAGGTATACATCGGAGCGTCCGGTAAAATGTTTTACCGCACTTTTTTTACAATTACGTTCATTCGTTTCACATTTTACATTTGTCTATACGTTTGTAATAACCAACTTACCGCACTTATATCATAAATAACTAATAAGACATGCTTGTGAGTCTACTACTACGATTGTTCCAAACAGATAGGAATCCGATCTTGATGCATCAGTTCCAGATCTTCAAGTGTTTAATCCATCAAAACCTTCGCTCCCCGACTTATTTACTTAAGGAAAGCCTCTTACTCCCGAACTGACGGAGTATTTCCAATTCTCGAACGTCAGACGTGGAGCGTACTCTATCGCGGCCGGTTTCGAGTATTTGGAAATCTGTCGAAAAATCGGAAGCCACAGCACTACTCGAGTGCTGTTGGAGTACCTCGAGCGCGGACACTTCAGTGTGGAGATCTTTATCCGTGTTAAATTGTAGGTTTATAAAAGACTAGTGACCCGCCCTCGCTTCGCTTCGAGGTAGAATTGATCAAAATCCTTTCTTAGCGGATGCCTGCGTCATAACATCTACCTGCATGCCAAATTTCAGCCCGATCCGTCCAGTGGTTTGGGCTGTGCGTTGATAGATCACTATGTCAGTCAGTCACCTTTGAGTTTTATATATATAGATTTGTTAATAACAAAATAACAAAAAATTTATAGCCTGTTTATGATCGTTGAGTGACGACATAGCTTATTACAATTCTGATTTGATCTTATAAAAAATAAGGCGCATGGGATACAAAATTTTATAGATACGTTTTTTACGTGATTGAACGTACAACATTAAAATATTATTGTCTGGTCGTTGGAGTCGTCGTCTTTTACGGTCGTAGAAGTCGGTGGAACGAAACTTGGCAGTCACCGCCGTCCTGTCTCGTAGTCCATTGTCATCTTTTTTCCTGTCAATACTGTCATGATATCCGTCTGTCATATGTAGGCTAGTCAGTCAGTCCAAGGAGGCCGGACGCCGCGACAATTATTACAAACGAAAAGAATAATAAAAGAGGCAGGCAGGAAGCACCCAATATTTTCTATCCATGCCGTTAGGAGTATGTGACAGAAGCGATCGTTAATTTTTAGGGGTTACAAGTCTGGGAATGAAATGAAAACATGGAGGTGACATTAACCTAATTTCTGTACGCTGTCGTATGAACGACACTTCTTGGTATAGGTATCATACCAAATATTTTGTAGGTATTGGTGGCTACCACAAAACCTTTACATCTTGGCCACTATAATGACCATACGACTGAAGTGAAACTTCTTTAGCTCCATCTGAATGTATATATATATATATATGTGTGTGTGTGTACAATATATACATGTATGTACATATACATATTTCATTTAAAAAGAGAAAGAGAGAGAGAAAATGTGCGCGCGCACTGCTTTCTCTTGCTTATATCCCCCACTCAACTCCCGTTTACCTCGCCCGAACACACTTTTCGTAAAGCGTAACGCATTCGCCAGCAAGTCAAGCGTGCGTGAAGAAGGTTCACTCAAAAAATTCCACGCAGACCAGGCAGCAAACGGGATTAGAGCCCGTACTCTCCGCTGTCTGGGCGGATGCACTGACCATTACGCTATCGCGGCCCTGCTAAAGTTTTATTTGAAATTCCATAAGCCAATGCTAAATATACTTCTTTTCTAAAGGCTATCATTTTACACAGGCTACAAGATGTCGCTTGCAGTCTGCAGAGATCGGTTGACCGGGTCTGACGCGCCGGAAGAACTCTGCGACGCTTCAAGCAAACCACACGCCTCCGTGGTCCGGTGCAACACACACCCATGCCCGTTCAAGTAAGTAACCATACTGATGGTTAGGTTAGGTTAGGCATATCGAGCCACTAAGCGTGATCACTAGCGGCTCAGTGAAGTCACTAGACGCAGCCACCATTCGAAGCAGATAGTTTGTGGCTGTCGCGTGTAACCCGTGTGCGGCCACCCTTAGTGTCGCCGCACACGGGCCACCGACCACAACCACAAAACGCCGCCACCGGCAATTTTCTTGTAGTTTTCAAACATTTTATATGGACTCGCCACACACGGTACGCCGGTGGCCGCCACACGCTACAAATCGTTGTTCGCTTCTTGTGGCCCGCACCGGCCACTTAATGCGCCGATACAAAACGCCGCCACACGTCACTCGCGTGATTCCCCACCCCTCTCTCCCTTACCTTAGTCGGCCGCTGTCGCGCGCTTCGGCCACTTTAGTAGCCGCTTCTAGCTTCTCGTGGCGGCGTTTGTGGCTGTGGCGTGTGGCCCGTGTGCGGCGACGCTTAGATTGGTCGCTGCGCTTAGTGGCTTGATGTAGTGGTCGCGTTTGGCGCACGCGATTAGTGGCACAACCGGCGCTTGCTCGATAATGTTCCTACTGCTAGGGCACACACGCCTTCCCTGTGAATGGAATAGGCCGATGGTATATAGCCACAATATGCTATTAGACAGTATGAAAAAAATGTACTTACCAATTATTGGCATTTGTATTTAACATGAATATTTGGAGCGATTTCAAAATGCGGACAAAAATAGTAGCCGATAAAATTACTAAAAAAGTATTTTTATCTATTGTCACGTAACCGAAAACGCTTTGGATTGGCGGAGCGTAAAATGACGTCACCTGCTTGTAAAACATGCTGTCAGGTCGATTGAGTACAGAACCTGTAATAACTGACAGGTTTATTTTACCCAATGATATAATGAGCACTCCCAATTTTATAATTGGGAGTGCTCATTATATCATTGGGTCAAACGCGCCAAAGAGCATTTACATTAAAAGATAACGCTTAAAATGACTTCACCTGCTTGTAATCATGCCGTCGAGTCTTTTGAGTACAGAATCTGTGATAACTGACAGGTTTATTTTACCCAATAATATAATTAGTACTCCCAATTATAACCGCGCCAAAGAGTATTTACGTTAAAAGATAACGCGTAAAATGACGTCACCTGCTTGTAAACATGCCGTCGAGTCTTTTGAGTACAGAATCTGTGATAACTGACAGGTTTGTTTTACCCAATAATATAATTAGCACTCCCAATTATAAACGCCTCAAAGGGTATTTACTTTAAAAGAAAAGTAATATATATTTCATACTAATGTCTTAATTTTCAATCAATTTAAGCGCCATTAATAAAGATACAATTTTATAGAGTTGCGAATGTTGCGATTCAAATAATGTCAACATTATAAGATCATAAATTTTGTAAAACACATCAAAGGTTATTTAAAACACTAATAGCTATAAAACCAAATATTCAGCTTGCATTAGGAAATAAACTTCATAATTTTCACGAAAGAAATAATTTGCCTAGAACCGTAATGTGAAACTGTGCTGTATAAAGCGGTTACGTTACGTTTTATCAACGTCCTCGCCGAATACGATTTCGTGAAATATTCTAAGTAAATGGCATGGCATCATAAATATGTATGAGTTCTAGGAATTCGACTCTGCAATCGCAGACTCTGCAATAAGTCGGTACAATATGACTTTTACAATGTTATTCTATTAGGCTTGTCGGGGTGATTAGAACACGGATGCAAAACAGCAAAGCGAAGATGAACACATAACATTAGGTTTAAAGTTTAAACCAAGTCTAACTTTAGTCCACGTTTTAGAATAGTGCGGTACGTGTTCTTGATTTAAAGTACAAGCTAACGCTACTGAGTAATTAAGCTTGAACTTATTCCCCCTTATTATTAAACGAAGAATAAGCTGGGATTAGTTACTCAATGTTTTGTCTCTGTTCCTTGAATGACAAATAAATTTGAGTGATAGGTACAAAACACGGTGTAACTAGTCTAAGCTTATTCCTAGTTTATTATTAACTAGTGGCCCGCCCTCGCTTCGCTTCGGTGTAGAGCTGTAGTTTAGACTATAGTTTTTGTTCTCAGATTTCTATTAAACACAATGACTGTTTTTAAATACCTAATTACTAAAGGCACGCTCCGCCGCCGGCCCCCCGGCCAGTACCGCCCGAACCGGTATGTTTCTGCATTTTAAATTTGTAATATCTTCGAAAATATTCATTTAAATTACATGCTGTACAGGGCCATATTGATCTATATTACATGCACAATGTATTTAAGGTACTTAATCGGATAAGAATTAATGCTGTATTGCTTAAAATCGCTTTTTCATAAATAAGCCAATATTTTCTCGTAATAAGTGGTTATCCCTAAGAGATAGACATATACCATCGAGGACTTTTTTTGTAGACTTTTTTAAGGTGTACAATAGTGTTGTACATTATTTTGATCTATCTCGTAGGGTTCAGCCAGCGTTTGCAAGGTAAGCGCAAAAAATGTGTTTATTTACGACCTTACTTAATGTAAGGACCTCTAAAATTATCAGTTTTTCTCTACTATAGTATGCATGTTTTATACATATAAACCTTCCTATTGAATCACTCTATCTATTTAAAACCGCATCAAAATCCGTTGCGTAGTTTTAAAGATCTAAGCATACATAGGGACATAGGGACAGACAGCGGGAAGCGACTTTGCTTTATACTATGTAGTGATGGGGATTGTCTCTAATGTGTAGATGGTATGTCGGCGAGTGGTCTTCATGCAGCGTAACGTGCGGCGGAGGGGTGCGCACGCGCCGCGTCCTCTGTGCTAGATCAGCCAACGTCACCACGGCGGATACTTACGACCCTGGTAAGAATATGGAAAAAGTTTATTTAAAACTAATGGCCCGCCCTCACTTCACTTCGGGGTAGAATTGATCAAAATCCTTTCTTAGCGGATGCCTACGTCATAACATCTACCTGCATGCCAAATTTCAGCCCGATCCATCCAGTGGTTTGGGCTGTGCGTTGATAGATCACTATGTCAGTCAGTTACCTTTGAGTTTTATATACAGGGCGTCCCACGGCTACCTCACACGGAGGGAAAGTATATTAAATACTTTATAGCGTTATATCAACAGGTATAATTGGAAATGAAAAATGAATACATCTGAAAGTCAACTACATCAAGCTCTCTCGTTCCAGGATCAAGCTCGGAGCCAGGCTGCGTGTCTCCTGCACCGCGGTCCACTCAGCCCTGCAACCAACACGAGTGCCCGTCCTGGGTAGCTGGACTTTGGTCTGGGGTGAGTAAACGATCATACACAAACGGCTTTCTTAGTCTTAGACTTAGTAGAACGGCGGGCTGTTTCCGCAACTCGACACCTAGTGCCTATTTTGCGTGGGGATGGGCATTAGTCCTGCCATCCCAGCTTCTCCAGAAAGCTCAGCAGTCGCCGAATGTTGCTGCAGGCCTCTACTATTGTCTTCGGGCTTCCCATCTGGGAAATCCTTTGTCTTGCAATGCCCCTGCACACCAGTAGAACATGGGCGCTCGTCTCCCCGTCCTCCAGGCAGGCTCTGCACAGAGGGCTGTCAGAAATACACAAACGCCCTTATTAAAAAACGTAGACTTAAGTTAAACCTGGGCTAAGACTGATGTTGTCACTTTTGTTTCCAAAAAAAAAGACTGAGACAATATCCGCCTTATTACAAAACGTAGAATAAAGTTAAACCTGGATTAAAACTGATGCTGTCAAGGTTTCAACCAAGGCTAACTTTCAGGGCTGGTCAGTGTGAAGGGGGTCAGGGGGTCTCGGGATCTGGGCCGAAGAAGGGCAGCCGTGACTACCGGTCTTCGTCGGCCCTAAGGTGGTCCGGGCGCGGCTTGGCCGCCGCGTGCCCTAGGTGCAACTCAGCATAGGCCACCCCGTCTGGGGATTGCCTAGTACCCTAGCGCAATCCCCCAGAGGCGTGTCGTCCGGTCCACTCGTTGGACCGGGCCAGCCCGGGGGCGTTCCAGTGAGGTGCGCCGATCCTGAGACGCTCCCACAAGGTCCTAGAAGAGTACCCGTGGTATTTAGTGGATAGGACTGGCGCTGTTCCTCGTCGAGGAGTCCCACATACGTCGCGCACATAGCCAGCGCGCGGTATGGTCCGTAAATGGATTTTCCATAGTCAAAAACCATCGTTTGACGACCTCCGTGACCGATTGGTTTGTACGCCGGGTTTTATGGTGTCGCCGACTCGAATCTCGGTGGGGGCAGATGTTTGTGTGATGAACATGAGCATTTGTACTCCAGTCATGAATGTTTAATATGTTTATATGCATTCTATCCGTTATTCTAGCATCCCATAACACAAGTTTTACAGTGCTTACTTTGGGTATATGTATTCTATCCGTTATCCTAGCATCCCATAACACAAGCCTTACAGTGCTTACTTTGGGGCTAGGCTAATTGGTGTGAATGTTGGAAGTATTTATTTATATTTATTTTGTTATTGTTGCCTAGTGTTTGTTACTCTCAATGATTATTTTAAAACCTGTTGTTTGTAAATCTTCCGAAGATTGTTCGTTTTCCATCTCACCGTAAGCAAATGAATGGATGGCTAAAGGTTTCCTCTGTACAGATGGCCAAAGTTCCGGCTTGTTATGGAGTTTCGTCGTGACTTCACAAGACGGAGTATTGTTTAGCGCACCCAACTTAGTTGTTGGCGTTCACTTCATTCCGTTAATGCCTCTTTAGTGAATTGACTTCACACAATAAGCTGGCAACTTGTCGCTTTAAAGGCACCGGGGCGTTTGCAGTTTCGGACCCATTGTCACCTTTTTATCTAATGGAAAATAAAGTCTGTTGAGTGGCATTTCCGTAAATCGAAAAAGACAAAGGACTTCTCTAATGGGAAGCCCGAAGACAATTGTAGAGGCCTGCAGTAACATTCGGGGAATGCTGGGCTTTCGAGGGGCTGGGATGGCAGGACTGATGCCAATCCCCACGCAAAATAGGCACTGGGTGTCGAGATGCGGAAACAACCCGCCGTTCTACTAAGACTAAGACTAAATCGAAAAAGACGCCATCTTGCTTGATCTGTCTCCGCGGCACGCGCTTAATGAGGAAAATGCGGCTGCTTTAATTATCAGTATAAAAGTAGTATCATGTATGTGGTAGAATACAATATTTATTTATTGCGCTATCGTACACAAACATGACATTTAATATTACATTAAAACAGTTTATCTCTCAGAAAAATCAACTTACATGAATCACTTTTAAGCGCACTTAGCAACATCTATTGTAAAAAAATGCATTTTCTTCGCAATAAAGCTGATACGTGTATGTCCTAGATAGAGACTTATTATTATAATACCGCCGTCCAATATATTGAAAGTCACCAACCTTTCCAATTTTATTGTGTGTCATGATGCGAGCAGCCCATGTGTTTACCTGACGCGAGTTTAAAACTTTTTAACCCATACAAAAAAAGTGTACAACGCCACTAAAGAAGTTTTCACTTAAAAAAATCGGTAATTGAGTAAAATTACAACTCGCAGAACATCATACTGCAGAAATGCGAACGTACATACTTTGAAAGAAAACAAACTAACAGGCGAGACAACGGCTAACAAGCTCGCCTCCGCATCATGTCAAACTGTAGGCAAAAACATACACAACTTTTTATTAATTACACTGCCAGCTCAGAGTTTTGTCATCACGAACTAACGGCGTGGATCTCCTAAAGCATAATCCACACTGGCAGCCAGTGAGCGAAACCAAATTCCTTAAGGCCTACGCAGACCGGGACGGCATGGCAAGGGATTTAAATTTTTACTAATGGACATTCAACCGTACTGTTACAGAAATACGACATAAATTGCTATGCTTTAAAATGATGCCGTGGCATTGAAAGGGATTTCATCGCACGGCATTAAAAGACATGCCACAGGCTCCCGTGGCGGGATGCCATGGCGTAGGCAACGGCACGCCACGGACTCCGGCGCTCGTAGTGATATACTGCGGGGTGTGGGTAGAGAAGCGGGGAATTCACCCTTTGATTCCCTTTCTTTCCATAGATTACCAACCCAAAATCTTCTTCTATCCCTATTATCAGCCTATGCACCTACTTCTTCATCTGCAATAATCGATATCAACACCAAATCGCTGAAGCGTGCTTTGTCGTGCCGCGGCACGCCGTGGCATGCCGTGGCATAGTGCTGGAATGCCGCGGTACCTAAGCGGCCAGTGTGCGCTGACTCACGGCAAAATCCCTTGCCATGCCGTCCCGGTCTGCGTAAACCTTTACGTGCACGACGCTGTCTGCATCTTTCATAAATTGGTTTAACTATGCGAACGCTCGTGTCGTTCATATCTACAAGTAAAATAATATGAGCGTAGGGAAACTACACACATCAAAAGTGTCTAGGGATCAAGCATTTTTATGCGGATTTCTTGAGATTGAGATGTGGCTTTGTAATAAATTTATGATTTTATAAATTTATATGGATCCTTTTTGGTGCATTTCATAATTTGAATCAGGAACTGTGAATCAAATTCGAGTAAAAGATGAAAATCAGCTGTCAATATTTTCCCTATAAAAACATACAACGCATTGAAGACAATATTAGTGCTACTGTTTCCCTACTACTGATTAAAACCAACGTTATTATGGAGCGGCGACGTCATTTAAGCAGGGAAGAAATGCTCAGAGCCGTGGGAATGATAGAAGCTGGTTCCCGGCAACGTACTGTGGCTTTAGCTCTGAATACAAGTCAGAGTGTTATCAGTCGACTTTGGACACGATACCGAAGCACTGGTACCGTGGCTGAGCGCCATGGAGGACGGTATCGCTGCACCACACGGAGACAAGACCGATACATTCAAATCTTAACTCGAAGAGCTCCAACAATAACCGCCATGATGTTAGCCGTGAGGCTTCATCACTCTTCAGGGAACTTAATTAGCGACCAAACAGTCAGAAACCGCTTGCATGAAGTGAACCTTCATTCCCGAAGACCGCTACGGGTACCACCTATAGCAATGCACAATCGTAGGATTCGATATCAATGGGCTCTTGAACACAGAAATTGGGCAGAAGAACAATGGCGTTTCGTGTGCTTTTCTGATGAGTCTCGTTTTGGTATGAGACCGGATACAAGACGTATACGACACTGGAGAACCCCTGGACGCCAACAGCGATTAAAATCCTGCCAGGAAGTCCATCCTTATAGTGGTGGAACCATCATGGTATGGGCGGGTATTTGGATCGGCGGAAGAACTGAGTTGATTTGGATCAGAGGCAACCTCAACGCTCAAATTTATGCTGAGACGATTGTATCAGACGTCATCGTTCCTCTACAAGTGCAAATCGGTCCCTTATTTCAGTTAATGCATGATAATGCACGACCGCACACCGCAAGAGTTGTAAGACAGACTCTCGCTGCAGCTAACATCAATGTCCTGCCCTGGCCTGCTCAGTCGCCAGACTTGAACCCGATTGAGCATGCATGGGATATGCTACAGAGAAGAGCTCTGCCGAATATGGAGGGTATCCAGTCGCAAGAAGACCTTTTTTTGTTGTTGCAACGAACATGGGCGGCCATTCCACAGCGTGATTTGGATGAACTCATTTTGAGTATGCCAAACCGATGTTCTTGTGTTGTTAGTGTTCGCGGTAGAAATACGGATTATTAATTGTTTAAGTTACCCAATAAAATTTTAGAGAAAACTGTTATTTCAGTCTTTTTTTCGAACTTTTGTGTTAGTGGTTCAAATGTCAAAAATCCCTTTATTAGGAAAATGGCAAATTTCTTTATTAATGCAAAGGTGACTTGGTTTATCGTTACTGTGACAAACGAAAACACTTTATTTGATGAATCCTTAAAGAAAATTTTAATTAATATCAATCAGGAGAAAAGTTATTGCAAAAATATATGTTGATCCCTAGACACTTTTGATGTGTGTAGTTAGCTTTAGCTATTCATTTATATTACACTAGCGGCCCGCCCTCGCTTCGCTTCGGTGTAGAACTGAAGTGTAGACTACAGTTTTTGTTCTCAGGCTTGTATTATACACAATGACATTCATCTATGATTCTTCTTATACCTGCATGTACAATCTCAGCCCGATCGGTTTAAAATTGACAAAGTTTCATACAAACTTTCATTCCCTATTTTATCCCCTTGGGGATAGAATTGATCAAAATCCTTTCTTAGCCTATGCCTACGTCATAACATCTACCTGCATGCCAAATTTCAACCCGAGCCCTCCACTGGTTTGGGCTGTGCGTTGATAGATCACTATGTCAGTCA